AAGCAGTGGCGTACCGTAGTGGGGGCGGCAGGGGCGGCCCGCCCCGGGCGGCACTTTTTAGAGGGCGGCAAAATTACCTTTCAGAGGCGGCAAAATTTCACAATAAACAATAATAATATTTTGTAAAAATTTGAAACATCCTAATCTATACTTGCATCGCGCCTACGATAGTGCTATCGTCCGGACAGTCCGGGAATCGGCTCGCCGGGTGAACTAGTAATTTTTTCATCCCGGGAAATCCTGCGAAACCTGTTGCCTGTTTTTTTACTTGTACGATTCATTCGCGATCATATACACCACTAATATCCAATTGAACTATTTTAACAAGTCACTGCACTACCACCGAATTTTTCATTGCTTGTTCTGTGACAAAACTGAATTTTGGTCTTTTAAATTGAAATACCTAAATAAGGGGGCCGAAATTTTCCTCCGCCCCGGGCGGCTGACACCCACGGTACGCCACTGATTCATTGGCACTATGCATTCATCATTTAGTATCCAAATTCCCATCAAATATTAGATTTTTATTGGCAGAAATACCATGTTTGTTTCGTCATAGCGAATTACGAAGAGATGCATTCAAGGAATTATTTGCAGCTACGAACACTTCTCCAGATCTTCAACAAACCAGAACTGCACCACTTCCATTTGAAAAACCTTCATTCACTCGGTGGCTTGTGCGTGGGAAGGTAATATTTAATATTCTCATGAACTGGGAAGAATTAAGAAAGATGGACTTCCTGTAGACAGAACAATTTTGGATTGGTGTGCTTCAGCATCGTTCATTTAGAGCTTGCAAGCTTTGCTCTTATTTGTCTGATAACCCCTATCAGCAATGCTGTAGTTGAAAGGGTATTTTCTCTGTAAAAACGAAGACAAGGAACAGAATGCAGCTAAATCTTCTTGATGCGATTGCAGTGGCATGCCGTGACATTTGATGATGGGGAAGCCGCGTGTTTGTAAAAAAACGACTTCCAGGGGCAATCAGTTAATTGCGCGTCAGTGATGGTCTAGGGTTCATTCGTATAGTTTGTTCGATAAGCCAGTAAAAACAGCACACTTCTCTAAATGTATTTTTAATATCACAATTACATTCCGAATTGCTAGCCACGATATAAGGGCTACAATTAAAAATTAATTTGTTGTAAATTTTAAACGATCCTCTCCATAGCTTTAAAAATCTAAATACAGTAAACTTAATAGATTGTCCGTCTTTTGTTTTTTAACTACAGTAGAACCTCCATTATCCGGACGTCCATTATTTGGATTTTCGATTATCCGGATTGTTCAAAATAAACAAAAGTTTTACGATTATTATTGTTAAATGTCTACTTTGGACTTTATTTATTAATAGGACTTAAACTGGTGGTGAAAGATTGACACAGCAATTAGAGTTAGTTCAGAAAAAACAAAATTTCTTTATTGTATCACCTGTAGTAATAGTTTCTGTACACTTATCACTTGTGTTTCGGGCTAGCATGCCCCTCATCAGCAGTACTACTACCACAATTCTTTTAATTGCAGTTGTGATTCAGTTAAAACTTATATAGGTGTATTCTTTTAATTGCAGTTGTGATCCAGTTAAAACTTATATAGGTGAAACAAAAAGAAAATTAGGCACAAGAATAAAAGAGCATATACGTGCAATAAGAGGTAATTATGCAAATTCTGCAGTAGCAGAACACTGCAATAGTTATGGATGTCAAATCAACAAAGATACTATAAAAATAAATAAAAAAGAATCAAATAATCATAAACGTCAATTATACGAACATTTATACATTAAAAAAGAAAGAAATAAAATAAACAACAATTTAGGTCGTATAATCCACCAATCCTGGAGCACCATACTAGATGTCGATTATAGAAACGAATAGTGAATGTCTACCATGATGATGTTGAATTGTGAAAATATTAAACCTACGTAGTGAGTTTTTTTGGTTTTCCTATGAAATGTTTAAAGTTTTTTAATAATTTACAACCTTTATTTATAATATTTTAATTTATTTATACAGCAAAATGTTTATGTCATTAATAATTTATACAAAGAGAAAAATACATGTATACTCGGTTTTGGAATATGTATTTACAGTAAGTTTTTTAAAATTATATTTTTATGGCTATGTAAATAGATTTTAAATTATAGAATATCTTATTTTATTTATTGTTACTTTTAGTTTATGGTAGTAGTACTGCTGATGAGGGGCATGCTAGCCCGAAACACAAGTGATAAGTGTACAGAAACTATTACAACAGGTGATACAATAAAGAAATTTTGTTTTTTCTGAACTAACTCTAATTGCTGTGTCAATCTTTCACCACCAGTTTAAGTCCTATTAATAAATAAAGTCCAAAGTAGACATTTAACAATAATAATCGTAAAACTTTTGTTTATTTTGAACAATCCGGATAATCGAAAATCCAAATAATGGACGTCCGGATAATGGAGGTTCTACTGTAGTTAAAAAACAAAAGACGGACAATCTATTAAGTTTACTGTATTTAGATTTTTAAAGCTATGGAGAGGATCGTTTAAAATTTACAACAAATTAATTTTTAATTGTAGCCCTTATATCGTGGCTAGCAATTCGGAATGTAATTGTGATATTAAAAATACATTTAGAGAAGTGTGCTGTTTTTACTGGCTTATCGAACAAACTATACGAATGAACCCTAGACCATCACTGACGCGCAATTAACTGATTGCCCCTGGAAGTCGTTTTTTTACAAACACGCGGCTTCCCCATCATCAAATGTCACGGCATGCCACTGCAATCGCATCAAGAAGATTTAGCTGCATTCTGTTCCTTGTCTTCGTTTTTACAGAGAAAATACCCTTTCAACTACAGCATTGCTGATAGGGGTTATCAGACAAATAAGAGCAAAGCTTGCAAGCTCTAAATGAACGATGCTGAAGCACACCAATCCAAAATTGTTCTGTCTACAGGAAGTCCATCTTTCTTAATTCTTCCCAGTTCATGAGAATATTAAATATTACCTTCCCACGCACAAGCCACCGAGTGAATGAAGGTTTTTCAAATGGAAGTGGTGCAGTTCTGGTTTGTTGAAGATCTGGAGAAGTGTTCGTAGCTGCAAATAATTCCTTGAATGCATCTCTTCGTAATTCGCTATGACGAAACAAACATGGTATTTCTGCCAATAAAAATCTAATATTTGATGGGAATTTGGATACTAAATGATGAATGCATAGTGCCAATGAATCAGTGGCGTACCGTGGGTGTCAGCCGCCCGGGGCGGAGGAAAATTTCGGCCCCCTTATTTAGGTATTTCAATTTAAAAGACCAAAATTCAGTTTTGTCACAGAACAAGCAATGAAAAATTCGGTGGTAGTGCAGTGACTTGTTAAAATAGTTCAATTGGATATTAGTGGTGTATATGATCGCGAATGAATCGTACAAGTAAAAAAACAGGCAACAGGTTTCGCAGGATTTCCCGGGATGAAAAAATTACTAGTTCACCCGGCGAGCCGATTCCCGGACTGTCCGGACGATAGCACTATCGTAGGCGCGATGCAAGTATAGATTAGGATGTTTCAAATTTTTACAAAATATTATTATTGTTTATTGTGAAATTTTGCCGCCTCTGAAAGGTAATTTTGCCGCCCTCTAAAAAGTGCCGCCCGGGGCGGGCCGCCCCTGCCGCC